TATTATCATCACCAGAGTAGACATACTATAGAGTAGGTACTGCTTAATATACCTATATTATATCCTATATATGGCTGAAACTTGAAACTATGCGTTCGTCTATTGTTACTGTGGTTGAACCGTATGCATTTCAGTAATTGTTATGAATTAAAATAATAATAATTTATAACTATATACTACATACAACGCGTCTAATTTTTATTTTGCTTCGTATTATATCGATAGGATATCATATATACATTTATATGACATAATACTTTTGTATCGACAAAACAACAGCTATTTTATACCTTCTTATAAAACTTTGTTATTTTATCCTTGTCCCTATATATATTAATAAGTATAGTTAATACCGGCGTAACTAAGGAGGACTTGGGGTAGTTGATTTCCCCCTAAATACAATTATAATCATCCCAAAAGGTTTCAAAAGAAAATCGTGGCATTACAAAAAAAGATATTTTAGCTTCCCATCCATTCCGAAAGTTATTTTCGAATTATGTGTGACGCGTATGTACTATAATGCAATATGTATAATAATATAAATTATAAATATATAATAATATTATGTAGGTACGTACCTATGTGTACTCTGTTCGGGATATAATGTAATAAGAAGAGTTCGAATTTCGTGGTCAATTTTTTTTATTGGTCTAGCTTTATGTCTCCTATAGACTATAGTCATGTATGAATTCAACTACCTACCTGTAAATCAATGAGTACTTAAAATATTTTAAAGCCAATAATACCTGTTTATTTTTGTATCATAATACAATGAGGGCTAATTTCAACTGGTTTACCTAGTAATTTTTAATAACATTTGAAGTACCCGTCTTATAAATTTTAAGATTATATAAGACTGTAACAGTCTAACCTGTAATAGCCAAATACAAATATTATATTAAATAATAAACTCAAAGAATGTAACAAAATTAGTAGGTACATTTATATTAAAAAATATGGGTTTTATAATAATTTTTAGTAGACTTTTTGAGAATTTTGTTCTAGTTCAAAACGTATATTATTATGGCCCATTATTATTTTAAATGTACAAATGAGGTGCGTGTCCAACCATGTTTTTGTTTTTGTTTGGACTTACCAGTTACCAACTTGTAACTTGCAACTAGTCAACTCATTTTTTATATGAATGTTATAACTATAAGATTCAAATTTCAAAAATGTGTTAGGTAAGACACTCACGTTTATTATAAATTGCAAACATTTTTCCTTAATAAATAATAATACGTTTGACACAATTTTACAAGTACCTATAATTATAACATTTTACTAAAAATACATAAGTTTTGATATTCATTTTTATTTTTCTAAAAATTCATTTACTACTGAACAATTTGAAATTTTATCCATCAACTGTTGATATTTTACACCGAGTCTATAATATCAAAAGGTGAATACAAAATCCTAGAAAAGAAAATATGCACAATTTTATTTTATTAGCACTTTTAGCTCAAAATTTGTTAAAAACTTATAAAGTGTTTGATTTTATTGCTACAAGGCTCGAACATTTTATACAAGAGTCGGGTTTTACATAACCTTAGGTACTTACCTACCTTATAAGTTTTTCGGACAGAAACCTAAAAATCTTAAAAATATAAATGCACAAGTTTTTTACCTATAGACATTTCAATAAGTTCAAAATTGTAAATGAATTATAATTATATTTGTTATTTTTTTTGTCAATCATAAAATATTATTCGTAAATACTTGATACTACTTGATCCACTATACGGTTATCAATATTTATTAACTATTATTTACTATTATACACAATTATACATTTAGTTTACCTAGGTAGTTTTAAGCTATTTATTCACACCATTCTACGATACGTCGGTATTGACTTATTCCATTGTACCTATACAATTTATATGTATACTCAACACTAAAACGTTAATAATAGCTAGCCATAATATAATATTATTTGGAATATTATTATAGGTACATATTATATAATAATTACTAGGTTTATTACATAGGTAAATATATGTGATTTGTTTTTAGTAAAAATGAGTTCAATCTACCATTTATTATTAACATAAAAAAATATATTAATATCAATGTAAAAAATATGTACTAAAATATCTGTGGTATGATAAGCTGACACACCGTCTTCGTTTTGAATCGTTTTTCGTAAGTATGGAATGTCATTATTATTTAGTTCAGATCTAACACATCGATTACAGTGTACACTACTTAGAAATGAGGAATACAGAGTCGAAATCTATACTATAAAGCAGAGTGATGCCGACTTTTCCGGTTCTATTATTTTTATTATTAATAAATGTATAACTTTGGCTTCATAGTCCCTAACCATACCTATTTACATGAATAAATTGTAAATCAATGATCTTGATTATACTCTAGTAATCTCACATTTTTTGAATATTTTTTACTACGGGACTATTGTTCATTGTTAAAGTACTTAAATATAGTAACAGTATTTATAGTAGGTATAGGTACTATAATAAATTACTAATGGCCGCGATAAATTGTAATTCAATGTTTAATCATTGTATAATAATATTATGAAATACAATTCTGTGTATAGAGGATAAAATATATATCATAGACGGTGTCAGCCTCTATTTTCAGGATATTGTATAATACCTATAATAACTAATAAGTACCTATATATTTATATGAAGTAGGTACTAATGTATTATAGGTAAGTTATTTTACTACTTGCGTGCCTATCACGATATAGGTTGAATTCCAGATGTAGCGAAGAATGGTGTAAATAGGTTAAAATAGTTATTTATTGAAAACAACTAAAATTGTCATTAGTGACCTGGTGGTAATAAAAAAAATGTTTATTTTACTTTATTAGGTTAATTAAAATTAGATTCAATATTTTAAAAATGTAATTATTTTTATAGAATGTTAATAATATTATTATATAAGTAACAATTATTGTGGAATATTTTAAGTTTCTTTAAGTGTATCTTTTTTGGATTAGGTAGGTATACTTACAACAAAGTTAAATAATATATTTGAAGTTTGAATAATCCAATTTCCTCATAATTTTGACTTTACTTTCTGTAACCTTGTTTTACGTTTTCAACTTAATGAATTCTTAAATTTTAACTATAAAATCATTTGAAAATATTTGTGGTTTTTACCAATTTTATGAGTTTGAAAATTGAAGTTCGATCATTTGCAAATAAAAAATGTAAAAATATCTATCCGAGTACTCTAGGTATTTATAAACAAAAATCTTTATAGGCACTTACAATATTCACATATTCCTCTAATTATTGTAAAACGTACTTACCTAATTATTACTTTAATCCATTTACAAATGTAAACTTATTTCTCTCAGATTTTGGGCTTTAAAATCTCCTTAATTTTAAAAGTTGAAACATTGCAATGATAAATAATCATATGACCATTTTTCCGCCCCTGGGCATTATTACAACCATGTTGACCTGTAACTAGAAAAAAAATAAGGAATAACCAAAAAAAGATTTTTCATTCCCCACTATGATAAAAAAACACAACTTTTATATTTTTAGAAATTATTTTAATAATGATTAAAATAACACGAACCTTTATAAAAGTTGTATGCAGGTATATACATATATACCACAAGTAAACTAATAATGAAATAAATAATAAATAAATATTTACATTATTAACAATAAATCAATAGACAATAAGTAATAATATGTTTAAAAATGCGTATTACTACTGTTAATTAGTTACGAGTTACAACAATATTCACAATTTAAAAATGATCATAAATTAGAGTTCTAAGTGTTCTAACTCAGTTTAAGGTATAGTTTGGTAGGTTATATTATTTAGGGTTCATAGTTTACTTATGACAATTAATTATACCAGAATATTGGTTTAACTAATATTACTATTTTAATTTGTAATAAATAATCCTCCAAAAATGTAGTTAATCTATCAAACATATACAATAAAATGGATGTATGTTGTTGCAATAATTATACAATCGTATTCTAATTTCTAAGATAAATTATTTCGATTAGCTCAAACAATTTTGTGAAGTCAATGATAATTAAAATGTATGTACACTCCTATCTAGGTCTTTTAATTCCAAGGTACCTATTAAAATAGCAGCCTACTCAATAAAACTACACTGTCCTCTCTATTTTTAAAAAATAATGTTATTTTATACGGTATAAAATATGCTACAATAGTAATAAATGAGTAATATCTTTACTCTATAGTAAAGTTATCATGATATTATTTTTATATTCGTAATAACTAATATTTCATTAGTTAACTGATCTTCAACTGATCTACCTACTTTCATAGTTTACGAAATTAAATGTTATTTTTCTTAGTTTTGAACATTAATAGCTTTAATATTATATTTGGTATCTTTGAGTAGGTAATTACATGATGTATCGACATTTTTCTATAGTTATAAATATATTAAGTATCTACATATATATATATACAGGGTGTCCCGTGAGGATTTACTCATTGCGATATCTCCTGAAATAATGGAGATATCGTAATTATGTTTTTTTTATTAAGACTCGCAGAGGTAAGCACTACAAATATTTTATTTTTAATTAAATTAAATTTTTTAGTAAAAAAGTTAAAAAAATTATTTTTTAATTTTTAATTTTTGAAAAAATTGAAGATAGCCATTCTATAGAGTATATTTTTGTGAACATTTTGAGCTTTTAACATTTTATTTTCATTAGTCTCATGATTTTTAATATTTTTTTTAGTTTATTAGTAAAACGTTAATAAACTGGTTTTTGTCCGGGCGGCGAGTCCCCCTCTACGGCTAATGAGTAAATCCTCACGGGACACCCTGTATATCTCATATATATGTATAAGTATTTTATATTGAAGTTAGTTCACTTTTATAGCTTGTTTGACTTTTGAGTTTTGACTAAAACATTTATGACATTAATAATTCAGATAAACATGTTTTGATTACAATGTTTTAGTACTGGTACAGTTCATACAGAAGATAGTTCATAAATATTTCACATTTCTAAATGGATGGAGTTCAGAGAAATTTCAGTATGATGGCCGAGAAAATCGATCGAATGCGATGTTTAAGGGTAATACTTTTTACTATATTATATATGCGAATAGGTATATTATATTGACGTTACATTTTAAATGAAGAAAAGTATATTTACGTAATATATTCATAATAATATTCATATTTATAATCAATTTAGTTGTTTTTTTTTCGAAATTGCTAACTCAATAATATCTGTCATAGTTGCATTCAAGTACGTTTTTGAAAATGCCCTCAATGATAAACTTATAATATTTAAGATATATGTATATTATTTACTTTTTAAAATTGTATTTTGTAACTCCTTAATTTAATAGATTGGAGTGATATAAGTTAGAATGAATTAAATATTAGCTTATTTCAGATTAAGTGAAAACTGAATACCTAGTTTATCAAACCAAATTACTCATATACAATTATGTGAACGACAACACTCACAATACTGATTGGGTTATTTATTCCTGAGCTGTTAGTTGTTACAAAAATCTCGGTTTTAATTTATGAGTATTATAATTTGAAATTTAATAATATCTATGTATCTATTACGTATTATATCTTATTAATAATATTATAATACTGTTGTTTTAAGGTTATATTGGTTAAAGTAAATATTTAATACCTACTAATAATTGAATACCTAGTATTATAATGAATAATTTGATTTTTTTATTATTTTAGGAGCGATGCGACAATTATGTCAGACTAATAAAACTAACACTTGATGAAACGATAAAAGAACAAAATTCCCTTTTGGATGGATCAGCTATTCATAATAGACTAAAGTATCTAGGTGTAATGGATAAACCTAAATCATTATCAAACACATTCAATACTGATAAATATCATAAGAATATAGATTTTAATAACAAGTACAAGTATTTAGTGTTTGATGATGATTTGGTTTTTAGACAACATAAAAAAAAATCTAACTTAAATACAAATGATATGTATTTATCAAATGATTATAGCAGCTACAATACTAACTATAAACCCCGAGTTCATGACTTTTCAACGGTGTATGATGATCAGCATAACACATATTATATGCCAATCAATTCTAAAAAATATGGAAAAACCACGAACTTTCGAACACCGGATACTCAAGAATACCAAGTATATTATTTTCCTACATCAAAACCTATAGCTCAATATCCTCGACAAACTACTGAGAGATTTTACAGACGAAAACCTATTAAGCAATACCCAAAAGAAGAAGTTCCTTATTGGCCAACACGGTATCCAAAGCCAGTGAGAGTTATTGAACGAGAGCCATCTTATTCAATGATTGATTATGGTTACCGAAGTACAAATGATTATCGCATTGGTAAATCAAATATTCAGCCGTATACACCTGAACATCGTTCAAGATATTATCCAACAAATGATAATAATATTTATCACGGTCATGATGATAGTGATTATTATTATGAGCCTCATTTGGGGCAGCGATCTTTTTCTAGTATAACAAGACCATGTTCACCCGTATATCATCGAGATATTTTGTGTGATAGAACTCAAATAGAAAATTCCAGCAGTTTACTTGAAAAAAAAATCCGAGATTATGTATGGAACCCACACAAAGAACGCATTGAAAAGTATACGATTCCAAGTTATGAAAAGTCCACCTATTATACCGATTTCAAACCATTAAATATTAAACATCAAGGAGATGAAACATTCAGAACACGTTCACCATTAGGACTAGATTACCGGGCACGCAATAGAAAAAACGAGGTAACCAAAGAAAGTGAGTATAAAAAAAACTCAATACTTACGACGTCACCAGAAAGAAGACCTGCAGATGACGAATATATTCAACCGCACAAAGACAATGATCATTATTCTGAATCTACAATATATAAAAAAAAAACTGAAACACCTTCGACTTTTTCCAAGCGAATTAGTTTTGATCTTGGTAATGAACATATTGATCCACCTAATCATACAAATTTAATTGAAGAAAATACTAATGAAAATTATAACACAAAAAATAAATTAGTTTTGGGAAGAAAAGAATCAAATGCAAAACTCGATGATAATCGTCGAACATCGTTATTGGCAAAAGATGATTACTCAGTTTCCATAAGCAAACAAAAGATTTCACCAAGTCATACAAATGTAAGCTCAAGAAGGCAATCTTTAATTAAACAAGAAAAGTTAGCTTCAATCGGAAATTCTCTTGAATCTGATAACTATATAAATTTGAAAAATAATTTTCAAGGAAATGATTCTGGTTTGTCAGAAAAAAACGTACATTCTTACAATAATGATAGAATAAATTATGATAATAATAATGATATTCAGATTTATCCGAAGACACAAGATGATAAAAACAATGTTATGCTTAAAGATATATCAAATGAAAATACATACCGTGATCTCAGACGTGATAGCAATGAAAATAACAAAAAAAAATTGATTGAAACAACAGAAAAAACAAATTTTGGTTATCAAGATCACACAGAAAATACCATGAATATAAATGATAACTCAAATATCACTAAACGCAGAGAAAGTTACAAGGGTGAACAAAAGTTGAAAAAAGAAAATACTCATGGTAGTACAACAAGTTCTAATGGAATGGATAATAAATTAGAGAATGAATATAATAACAAAAATGGTACAAATGTATCGTCTAAAAATAGGATTAGCTCACCCATAGTTGATCATAGGAATGGAAATAGTAATATGAACGAATATGAAACTGATAACCAACAACAATTTATTAATAAATCTGATAGTGTGGAAAAACAAAACAATTCTGAAACTATTCAACCACATAATGTTGTTAATGATTCAACCAATGAAATAGATATTATTAGTAAGGTAACACAAGTAAGTTCTGATTTGAAAACAATTCCAAAAGACCAAGAACCATTACATGATATTTCGAATAACGACCTTACGAATAATACAAATTATTATCAAGATCATCCTGATGAAGACGACACAAAAGAACTCCCAGCTCATGAGTATGAGACACAACCGGAACATGTTGCTAGCGACGAACACTTTTATACAGATGAGCTCGTTGACGGTAACAAAGAAGTCGTAATAAACAACAACATTGAGCCCATCCAACAAGACGAATTTGATGACAAAAACAATGTACACGATGAGTATTATTATCAAAATCCTACGGATGACAAAAAAGAAAATCTAACAGAAAACCAATACGAGAATCCTGATTCTCAAGTAAAAGATGTCGAAAAACAACACGCTAATGATGATTATTACTATGAAAACTATTCTAATGTTGACCAACAAGAACAACCAGAAAATCAATATTCCAAACCGGCTGTAGAAGGAGAATATACAGGTGAGCACGTTGAGCACGACGATTATTACTATCAAAATCATGCTGGAGATGAAATAAAAGAGCAACAAGGAGATCAACAGTATGTTGACCCTAACTATCAGGGAAATTACGTTGATCAACCACCGGCTCACGATGACTATTATTATCAAGACTATTCTAATGGTGATCCAAAAACACAACCAGAAAATCAATACACCGAATCAGATCACCAAGGAGAGTACGTAGCTGAGCAAAATAATATGGTCCATGACGATTATTATTACCAAAATCATCCAAATGAAGGTAAAAATGAAAATCAAGTTGATCAACACTATCAAGAGCATCAGGAAAATTATGTTAATGGAGAACAAGACAACTATTATTACGAGAATAATTCTAATGTTAACACAGAAAGGCATCCTGAAGACCAATATGACGAAAATGCTCAACAGGAAACATACACAGGTGATCAGCACACAAATGACGGTTACTATTATCAAGAAGGCAATACAAATTACGACGAGACTGTCCCAAAAGAACAATATGATGGTTATGTTGATAACAACCAAGACGCTAATGCAGCTTATTATACAGATCCAAATGTCGAAAATTATGACCAACAACAACATGATTATGAAAACAATAGTTACCCAACACAAAAATCAGAATATATAGAACCATATGAACAAAATTCTAACAATGAAAATAATGGTTATTCCGAAAACATAGATGAAAGTCAACCAACGAGTCAAATTGCCAACGAACAAAAATAATTTTACATTAAACGATCACAGAGATTAATTAGGAAATAATATTTTAATAGTATATTACTATATATTATATTATAATATTATTAAACATAAAATAAGTAAAATTGATATTAATATTTATTTACAGAAAAAAAGTAATCCGGTCTTGTTATTATTGTTTTAACTTTTAAGTGAAATTGATTGTAAAATAAATCGTAATATTGAATCATCTAGTACATTTATTTTATAAGATTAAAATGATCGAACATTTTTCTTGTTAAAAATAGTTAGGTACAGTTAATAGTTTTATGTGTAAATAAAATCCATTAATAATATCCGTTATTTATTTCCTTTTAATATGTTTATTATATCATAGTAACAAAATTTAACAAGAATAAGTATAGGGTAAGTATCTATAATAAGTAATAATTAATAAGTAAATAATAGTTCGGTATTCTATCTACAACCGTTTTTACATAATATGTATAAAAGCAAATTATCACTTATGTTCACTAAACAACAATTATTTAACAATTTTTCGTAAATTTGAATAAAAAATAAACTAAATTAAAAATTACCTCGTTGTATTGTCAACAAATATCAGGGTGACTGTTGTAGCTTCTTTAAACGTTGTTTAATTGTACAACGCTGAAACACAAACAATATCTAATAGGTGCTCAGTAACAGGATGTAAAATGATTTATTTACGTCCATTTTGTCGTTTGTTTTACTGGAGTTTGTAGCACTCAAATAACTTTACCCAATACCATAATGATTCCATTATTTTTGCATAGACATTGAGCATTACAGTACAGCCATTACATATTTTTCCATTATTATATCCTATTATAGTAGGTCAGCCATGTTTTTGTCGTTTTGAAACACATGGTATGTAGTTATTTCTCCTGTTTATTCTTTTTTCGCTTATTTTTTCGTAGGCTCTTATTGCCAAATACATTTCATTATAGTTCAAATGTTCAATACTTAAATAATATTTATTTTTTTTTTTTATTGTTGGCACATGGCATATTAATATATTATAGTTACTACCGAGTCGGGTGTAGCATATCGACCCATACTTGTGCAGTAATTTGTGTAATACGAAATTAGTTACCGATAGACGGTTGTAGGTACCTACCAAATAATAAAGCGTGTGTAACGACTTATAATTTGTAATAGTATCTATTTGCATTGTTTTTGTTGATAGAAAATTTAATTCTGTGAATTTTTTTTTTTTCGATCTTAAAATATAAATAATTTTTGATGTATTAAGCTTTGATGTTTTTCAATGGCTGTGATAATAATTTATCAGTTATGGACTTATGGTTAAGTTTTTAAGGCCACGGTATCCGATAATTTTAAACAAATATTATGTACCTAACTAATATTGTTGTCCTAATTATATTTATTTATATCGATTATTTAAAAGTTTTAACAAGACTACCTAAAATATAGGGGAAAAACATATTATACATAATCATTCTTATTTATTATATAATATGTTTGTGTTATGTAATAAAATGTGTGTATTATGGAAATTGAAAAAACGCCTATTCTTATCTTCGTATGGGTATTTACAATGTAAAATGTTACCTATGTAAAAATGAAACTTTATTTTGTTTTTATTGAACTTCAGCCCGGCGACTATGGCCATTGGCTGTTGTAGGGGATTATGAACTATGGTTGGTAAGGTTGGTACGGTAAGCCGTAAGGTGTTGTAACGGTTGTAAAGGTAGGTAAGCAGACTCGTGTATGTGTGGCAAGGTTTTTACTACTACGAACCCGGGTGGTCACCCATCCGAGAGCTAGTAGCAGCGGGCTTTACTTACTCTCAGTCGTATTCCGCGACTGGTAGCAGCCAATGAGTCGCGTCAAGCCATAAACTTTTTTTTATAATTTATTTATACAATAATTTTTCACATGCCTACCTATTAAATATTATAAATTACTACTTGTCACAAATTTTGTATAACCCGAAAATTACCATTGGCTATCGGTTGGTAACTGCAGGTAGGTACCTAAGTAAGATTTCTTAGTACCTACAACAGTCAACAAGTCTCACTCAGTCTAAGTAGTTTAAAAGTATATTCTTGATAATGCCATACAGTTTTTATTTGTTACTTATACTTCAATAAAATCCTACCTATATAAAAAATAGAAAATATAGGAGGTAACATAGAGTACATATCTCTAATCATAAATGAGACTATTTAATAAGGCAAATATCACAGTTGATAATTATTTTAACAACGTAATAAACAATAACTTTGAAAATATTAAATTAAGTAGATACCTAGGTGGCTAGGTATATTTTAAGTTTATTCTTATTTATTTATTTACAATATATATTGTGTACCTATTCGAGTGGCGGGGACACGATTGATTATATTATTATGTATAACGTTCTAACTGTCATTTTTCAACAAATTTTATTTTGTCATGGCATGTCAATAATTTAAAAATAAAAAAGTACAATGGCAGTATTTTGTAAATCTCATAAAATAATAGGTCATATTATTATATAAATGTATAACACAATTGAATTATTTCAACTAAAGTTATAAAGATCTGAAGTCACGCGATGTTACAATCGTACCATTTTCAATAAATATGTTACCTACATTCAAGTAGGTTAGATACGTACTCATCTAAAAATAAAAAAGCAATAAATATTAAATATTTTTATTCAGTTTTTAACACTGGGAACAATACCTGCAAGTTATATTTATTCAACACTATCTTGGAACATTCAATTTTAAACTTGTATAATGGGGGCAAGCATAATAGTAAGTTAAAGAATAATGAATTTAATTAACTAACGTACCTATACCTACCTATTATATAATATTTTAATGTACCTATTGGTACCTGCGGCAAATGCGTATAATTTAAAATCCGACAATGCAACATACGTTTAATCACTGTTACTAGTCATTGTGCGAATGTGAATTAATTCAAACTAATTATATTAAAATATTAAATAGTATTAATTTTACATAACATATTCAATAATACATTCATTTCTCTATAACAGTATGATTAATGACATTCATAATATTACCTATAATATATCCAGTTTTGATATTCAACGAATAAATAATTGGTCATTCTTAAATAGGTATACTAAACCATCTTAAAATATAATATATAATAATAAAATATGTCACTACAAGCGCCTTGACAATATACCTATAGGTATGTATTATCATATTTTGTGAACGTATATTATTATATTATAATTTATAACCAACGTTTTAATCCCTTTGTAACTTTATTTAAGGAATTCTAGATTTGTTTTGTTCAAACTCGCCTAATTGTTTCACTGCCTATTTTAATCTTATTAAAACCGAACAAACTTTCCGTGTGGTAATATATTTTATATTCAACGGGAGTTTTGTCAAATGTTAAATACCTAATACTTTACCGGGTATTTTTTTTACGTTTTTTATGTGTTTTGTGAACATCGTTCTAGCATATTATTACGATGATGATTACAGTTAATGGTATAAACAAACAATAAAGATAACGTGTTATCGAGGTGTTGTGTACTTGACGTGTATAATATTACGATCTAAAGTTTAAACGAACAATCCCGATGGAAGATTATAAAGCATTAATAATAATAATAATAATAACGGGTATTGATTATACTATAGACAACAGAATATAGTTGATCGAGTGCATCAAACGCAAAAATAAATAAAACATTTTACCCGAACACGTATTGCCGAGGTGCGTAACACTTATATTATAATAATATTGATTTCAGTTAAACGTTGAGTTATTATATTGTAAATGAATATACCGGAAACAATAATTATTATTATTATTTGTGAACATAACAGTGTTGCGTAAATAAGATAAGAAATAGGTAATGTACTAAAGGTATGTCCGTATAAAACTATAAAATATTATTATCTTCGAAATTCAAAAAAAATCACATGTACATTTGTATTTTACTGAAGAATATATTATAGGTATACAGTTATTATTTTCACGTTCTTGATTGGAGGTTTTTATTTTTATTTTTTTTCAATGAGATGAGAGTTATTTTTGGAATGATTATATTATAACGCATTTCCATCAGAAATTATTTTTCAATAACAAAGTAAGCGTGTACAGAATATTAGACATTATATGCCTTATAGGTACTTATTGAAATGTAATTTTACCGAACGAAAATGTAATGATGTCTTCAACTGTACATAGATGGAGCACGGATCCACAGCAAAGATTTGGGAAGGGAGTTTTTACAATACAAATATTACAATAATCATAATATTATACACTATTCATTCTTTATTAAAAATTTTTTATATTATACGATATTGGATTCACATTGTTCAGATATGTATAATATATTATATTATTATCATACATATCTGTGATTGGATTATAGTGGAGGCAGGATCTATAGAATTATAAAAAAAATTGGAAAAATAATATGTCTGGGTGGGGTTGGGCCCCTAGCCCCTCTGGGTCTGTCCCTGCGGTAGATGCGTGTATGTTGACTTGTTTATTATTTATTTTTTTTTTTTTTTATTATATTATATCCGCGGCGACTATGGCCATTGGACGACATTAATGCTATACAATACTATACAGGGTTAGAAATTTTTGTATATAGATACATTAAATATGAAGGAGAAGAAAAAAAAAAAAAAAAAAAAAAAATACAAGAAAGAAAAGACAGTATAACATAATATAACTTAAATTTTGTTGAGAAGTCCTGTGTTGTGTAAAAAAACCAACGTCGTTGTTAGGTTGCTCTGTTCGGGGCTGAGTGATTCGGCTAGCTGGTCCGGAAGGTTCAGTTCCCTCCTTTCATTTTCATATCTTCGGCATTCTGTGAGGATGTGTTTGACAGTAAGTAGGGAGCCGCATTGGGTGCAGATGGGAGGTTCTTCTCCCTTCATGAGGTGTTGATGGGTGATGTGTGTGTGTCCTATCCTGAGGCGAGTGATGGCTGTCTCCTGTTTCCTGGAGATGTTTGCAGGGAACGGCCAAGGGTATGTGGTTCTTTT